GAAATAATCGCACCATCTCCCTGCTAACTTGAAAAGTTGCTTACTCTATCTCCGTCATTTCCTTTGTGTCATCCTTATTCTATATACTGCATGTAAGTCGCGCTTGGGTACAGTTTCATATTAGAATGATTCACTACTGACTTGGTACAATGTAGTATCTTTATTGCACCTGGCTAGAACGGATGAGCCACATCTAACCTACCTTTATTCAACTTACTTAACTCGGTTGTATTTCGCGATCAAGTCACGTGTTGCCCAGTACAATGTTGTACCCCTCATGACAGATGGTATTCCTGATACCTTCTCAAGTAGTGATATACCACCGGGACGGTGAACTACGGCATCTTCCTCTTCGTATTATTATTCGGCCGCGATTCACATCACTATGTAAGCTCTATGGCATTCCTCACCAGACTATGCTATCTACATTCTGCTGCTTGAAATCGATTCGTAGATTACATGACCCTAGCTTGACCAGATGCCCAATGCTAACTAGCACGACGCTTAGAGTGCTGGTGCATCGCAGACTAATGGTTCAGTCCATCAATGAGCTCATTCGTATGTGACGTGCGCGCGGAGTTTCCGAGCGAATTGTGGGCTTGATACGGATCAATGCTAGCGTGGCAAAATTATTTTGTATGTTGCCAGTTCGATGGATATGTTTGAATCAAAAGGTTATCATCGTTTGCCCACTTACATTACGCATAAAGTGCAAAGTTTGACATTTGGAAAACAATGCTAAAACGATTGTCCTCGTGTGACCATATTGGACTATGCATTGGAAGAGAAATTTCCCTGGAAATTCTGTGGCAAGTGAACAATCCACACAAGTAACCGACTCGCGATTATCATATGTCGACAGTCCATATTCCGCTCCGCAAGTTAGTAATGAGAAGGAGCATAGGTATAGTTTCAGTTGTTCATACGACAAACTGAATTTACCAGGACTTATGAAAACGTACGTGCTAAGCGGATAGAAAGCGGAAACGCAGAGACGCCTACCAGAAGTTGAACTGGATATGGCTAATTTTTGGATGGACTAAGTAAAAGGTTAAACTTAACGGGAATGGTACGTCATTGTGTTTTAGTCTATTACATCGGAAAGGAATCAGTGCACAGCGACAATCGTTTCCTGAGCACTGAATGGCTGCACGCGAAACGAGCGATGAAGATCGTTAACAAATAGCTTATGGCCACAGCAAAGTACACAACGGAATGTACAAGCGGTACAGTACTTAGACCTTTGCAAAACAATGCGACCACTGTTTGGAAAGCTGCATGTTTCACAGTGGGCAGCGGGACTTAGTTGATGTAGTACTGTGGTAGTTGTCGTGCCAACGAGGCCGTACGCAGCGAATATGTGGTATTGCCACCTGTCGATGCCTAAGGTTGCGCAACAATCGTTCTTTG